TGACAATATCAAGCATAGACGGCATGGCATGCATTTACGGCAAATCCTGTCAACACTGAAATCCAAAAAAATGGTGTTCTCTTGCAAGTCCTGTTTTATCGAACGATGGAGTGAGTTCTGTCACCTGCACTTCGCACCAATAAGCAAGTCGGGGCAAGGCAAGAGCTTCTAAGCTGAGACCTTGGATAGGCCGACTACATCGAGCTATCTGAAAATTCTTTAGAAGAAACACAATTCGTCCTTAACCTCGTAGTCTCCGTCCCCTGCAAGTTTGATATTAAATTGGAGGCTGGGAGAATCAGGGTGCTGCTAGACGGTTTCAAAACTCGAAAAAAATTGAGTTTTCGAAGATAAGGCTCCACTTCCGCTGTAACAGCGTCCCATGGTAGACTTTCGGTAGACGCGGCGTGACGATCGCCCTCTCACAGCAGATATAGAAACCAGTCACAGTTACTGCCAGGGCTGGGACCAGACACTTTACATGCACTTTCAGTCTCGATGCGACAATGTGTAAAAGATCTGAACTGCGGTGGCCAGAGCCGGGTATAAGTCACTTATCACGTGCAGCTGGACCTCATATTGACTGCACTCACCTCCACACACCAAAATATGACATGTACAGCTGAACTGGACTCAAATAAAGGAGAATATTTATCCAACACAGAACCCCGATGGCTGCACACCCAAGATCGACTAGTAACAGCCGATATTTGCATTTTTTATGATTGCTTTTTAGCTCCAGGCAACTGAGGGAGGAAAGGCCAGAAAAAAGGTGTTGTTTTCGTTCCCAACACCAGAACTGTATATTCAGAGAATTGGCGGACATTCAGTGCATCTACTAGTATTCGAGGGGAACGAATGAGTACAAGGAAACCCACTGGTAATTGTCGAATGGATACTCTTCTCTATGAGTGTAACATTGTTCACACCTGACAAATTTCGTGTAAGCCGAAGACACGTGCTCAGTAGCAAAGGCGATCCTTTTGGAAGCAGACAAGAATAGCTACATTCTTTGCTACTATAGCCCATATTCAGAGCACGCTACGTCTAACATTTACAGATTTTGTTACAGGAATGAGGTTGCTACTACTTATGAACGGGTTTATAGGATGAAATGAAAGATCTAAAGGAGGTTTCCTTCCCTTCTACCAGAAAAAATTTTATCAAAAAGATACGTCAGGCTGAAGTCTGTTAACCTTTTTTAAATCAATTATATCTTTCACAATTGTCATTTTCGGCACCATTGACTATATCTTTGAATATCATCACCCATTTTCTTTCCTTTTATTCTCTAATTTTACTTCCTCTAGCCCCCTTGTAGCTTCCTCCTTCATAGGTTACTTGACTTCTCACCAACAGCCTTGAAAATGCCCCGGATTTCTGCGGACGCTCCCACTGGTGAACAGTAAGCATTCAACCTGAAAAAAGCCAATCTGCCTTGACTGGAACTTTGCAAATTCATTGTTGCATAACGGGCTACAATCAAAAGCAGTTCTGTTTATTAGGAAAGAATAAACTGTTTCCCAAAACCTTACGAATGTGACTAACCAGGCGAACCAACGACCCGAGCACAATTAGACTACTGCTAGTCGGAGAAGTGATTAGCTAATAACGGCGGCTAGGCCAGATGTCCGAGAAAGACGGCAAAAAACAGCTTATTTCAAGAGTTTGTCACTAGCGACCTGTAAATCGGAAAAACATCCACTGTCTACTGAATAAAAATCAGGGGAGATGCAAATAAATACCAGAAGTTTGAATCTGGTGCTGCCCGAAAAAGTCATCTTAGTCGACCAGTAGTCGAGATTATAAAAAGTAAAAACAGAACGGACACGAGACACTTACGGTATTGATGACACCGAAAAAGTTTAGTGGCCTTTTGGAGCCTGGTGAGGGACAGGCGTCAAGGCCAACAAAAGTGTAGGTACCGTACGGTTTTCGATGATTGATCATGTAGGACTGGGGGAAGTTGCGACCCTGGACAGAGTAATGCCTACAGAGAGAGAGAGAGAGAGGGAGGGAGAGAGAGAGAGGGAGAGAAGAGGAGGCGTTCAGTTTCGTAAACCATTAAGAAG